GTGTGTGTGTGTGTGTGTGTGTGTGTGTACATATTTATATACATATATATGTATATATGTATATGTCTTGTATGTACATGATTATATTAAATACAGGTGGATTTTTATATTTTCATCATGTGCAATTGTTGGGTATATTGATTTTTAGAAACCATGATCTAACTATCGCAGCTCTACTTTAATCCAATGCACTACCAAAATTAATACTATTAATGTTCTGTGAAAGTCTTTCGCTGATAATTTATCTTGCACCTGACTGAATTTCTTATCTTCAGAATTTGTACGCGGGCCAGACCGCCGACTTGCTTTGGGATCTCGAATCAGATGATCGTATGTTTAATAGGATTGCATGTGTTTAATAGGGTTGCATATGTTTAATATGATCGTATGTTTAAAATGATTGCATTTGTTGAATATGATAGTGTGTTTAATATGATCGCATATGTCTAATAAGATTGCATACGTTCACTACACTGATCGCAAATCCAATGTAAATACATATATTCAACACAAAACATCAGTTGTACACACCCTATATAAATACATCTTCCCAGCCAAATCCCGTACGTGCGATAATTTCAGTGGACGTGTCGAATAAAGTACATGTTTGCATCGTATGTGCGCGTGTATGGCATAGAATTTGTCTTGTGTATATACATATATATATATATGTGTGTGTGTGTGTGTATATATATATGTATATATGTATATATACATATACATACATACATATATATATATATATATATATATATATGCGTGTGTGTGTGAGTATAGTTATCGATCACATGTGTACTCACAGGCCGTGTCGCTTGTGGTTCATTGTGCACCCTGTGCGTGAGATTGTGTTTGGAGCATGCGTGTGTTGGAGCGTATTCGTACGTGTACGCCTATTGAGTGCTTTCGCACATGTTATTTGCACCTATTATCTGACAATACCCACCTATGAACATCGCGTTTGCTTTTGAACTCGTATTTTACGTTTTCATTTGACACACGCACGCGTGCGTTTACAATGACCTTCGAAGTACCAATCCGATTGTTGCCGTCGTATAAGATGTTCTGTACTCCAGCAGAAGCAGAGTTCTTGACTGGACACATGCCTGTGACCTTGCGTGGTCATTCATCTTTCGTCGTACTCGCCACACACGATGTAAGCCATCCGCAAAGCTGCACTGTCCACCTACAACTACATGTGGGCTGATGACTGGTATACCTATTCATTGCAGTTGCTGCGACGGGTGATGTGGTGCCGTGTACTATGAAGGTGGAGTTTGAATTGGCCGATGATGAATACAGGGTATGACCGCGTATGGTGTCACACGTCCAGGCACTACCATCGGCAGCACGAACTCGCACAGACACTGGTTGGGTTGGTGCCTATGATCCTACGCTAGCTATGTAACCTTTTGTTTATATAGTCAGGGTTTAGATGGGTTTAGGTGGTTTACGAGTTTAGAGGGGTTTAGGTGGTTTTAGAGGGGGTTAGGTGGTTCTAGAGGGGTTTAGGTGGCTTTATATGGGTTCAGAAGGGTTTTAGGTGGTTTTCGAGGGGTTTAGATGGGTGTAGGGTTGACTCCTATGTTCCTTTCGAAGTAGTCGGTTGTGTATCGGCTTTCCGTTCGTCTATTGTGAGGCTGATTGCTACGCCCATTCGACATGTCGTCATAGTGCACGACATCGCCTGGTGACGACTGTCAGAACAAATGAAGTACGGATTTGAGATGAATACAAGAATACGTACGTATTCTTATATCTTGATTGAGATGAATGTATGAATAAGTACTTGTTCTTAAATCTTGATTGAAATGAATATACGAATACGTACTTATTCTAGTATCTTGATTGAAATGAGTACAAGAATACGTACTTGTTCTAAAAGCTTGATTGAGATGAATGTATGAATAAGTACTTCTTCTTAAATCTTGATTGAGATGAATTTATGAATGAGTACTTATTCTTATATCTTGCTAAGATACTTACAAAAAAAGTACTCATTCTTAGAAGCATATAGATACCTATACCACCCAATGCAAACGTTCAGCGTATACCATAGTATGCCTACCGAAAGAGCTAGTGTTATATGAGCTCCTTCTTCTTTTGCACATTCTGACTCGTAGTATTACACGGCATTGACAGGTGACTGCGGCCAGGACTCTGCAGCACGTGTTTGAGATGAACATAGATATCTACAAACCCGAATACAAAAGCACCATACTCTTCAAGGGCATGGGCGAGTACGACGATGTGGAGAACGAGATCACTATCGGAGAATCGTCCGAGGCTGAAGTTTTGGTCACATATTTGGGTATGGTATTAAGGTGTTTAAATTGTGATGAGAGTTATGGCTTTGGTCGCTTGTCTGGGTATGGTATTAAGATGTTTATATTGTGATGAGAGTTATGGCTTTGGTCACTTATCTGGGTATGGTATTAGGGTGTTTATATTGTGATGAGAGTTATGGCTTTGGTCACTTGTCTGGGTATGGTATTAAGAAGGTTATATTGTGATGAGAGATATGGTTTGGGTCACTTATCTGGGTATGGTTTTAAGAAGGTTATATTTTGATGAGAGTTATGGTTTTGGTCACTTGTCTGGGTATGGTATTAAGATGTTTATATTGTGACGAGTGTTATGGCTTTGGTCACTTATCTGGGTATGGTATTAAGGTGTTTATATCGTGATGAAAGTTACGGTTTTGGTCGCTTGTCTGGGTATGGTATCGGAGTGTTCATGTTGTGATGATGGGCGATGCGATGCAACCAAGTGTATACCATAGACTATGAACCATATTCCGCATAGTATGGATGTGCCTCTACAAACACTTGGGCCCCTGATGATGCCTGTGCTTAATCCCGTACCCGGTACACCCTTGTGCCTGTGCACGGCTTTCCGGGGCCATAGGATGTCTGTCCATCTCACCTGAGGTCATGTGTATGTGTGGGTGGTTGGGATGTCAGCAGGACTCCATGGCAAACGCCTGGCTATTTAGTGTTCCATGAATGGCTCATATGTCCTCAGTGAACAAATCCCTGCGTTGCATATTAGGATGGCTGTGTATCATCCATCACGGACTAATCAGCGAGTGAGTGTGTCAGTGCTGGTAATGTATGGAGTGCAGGTCTAGATGAGTATAAGTTTCTTTGGATTGTATCGCACACGACGACTTGCATAGCATATCTGCACAGATATAGGAATGGATTTATAAACACGTAATGTGTAAGGGAGCCGGCTTGTATTAATAACAAATTACATAGTATATCAATACAGATATGGGGATGGATTTATAGACACTTAAAAAATTTGGGGGCGGGCTTGTATTAATAATAACTTACATAGTATATCGGTACAGATTTGGGGATGGATTTATAGACACTTAAACTGTATGGGGCTTGGCTTGTATTAATAATAACTTACATAGTATATCAATACAGATATGGGGATGGATTTATAGACCCTGAAACTGTATGGGGGCTGGCTTGTATTAATATTAACTTACATAGTGTATCAATACAGATATGGGGATGGATTTGTAGACACTTAAAACTGTATGGGGGCTGGCTTGTATTAATCATAACAAGAATAAACCTCTGTACTTGGCTGTGCAGGTGATAGTGATGAGGAGAGGACTGTTGTGGCCAATGTCGAGGTCAATCATCGCCATTGGATTGTGTCTGGGCACGACCAAAGGCGGCTCGCGCTCAGCAAAGTATGTGTGTGAAAGAGTGTGTATGTGTGTATACAGTAGCATGCCGTTTGTGTTTATACGGTATGATATTGTGTGCGCGTTACTTCTGTGTGTGTAAAGTATGGGTATGGGTGTAATATATGTCCTTGTATATATTGTATATTCTGTTGAGAGAGGTATGGGTGTAGTGTATGTCCTTGTACATATGGTATGTTCTGTTGTTTATGGTATGGGTGTAGTGTATGTCCTTGTACATATGGTATGTTCTGTTGTTTATGGTATGTCCTTGTACATATGGTATGTTCTGTTGTGTGATGTAGTGTATGTCCTTGTACATATATTATGTTCTGTTGTTCATTTATATATATATATAATATAATATATGAAAACCATCCCAATGAGCGATTACACTTCAATCCATTGTACGACAATTTTGATCATAGATCAATCCAGTTCAATTCAAATAATTACAATTTATTCCGATCCAATTAAAAGCTTATATCCCTCCAGTCTTGACTATTACAATACAGTTTAATCCATTTCACTCCAATTCAATCAGATTCAATCAGATTCAATCAGATTTCATATGTACATGCAAATTGTACACTCATCTAAATCATAATGTTGTGCCAGTCTGATGAATTTTTATCGCTTTAATCCAATGCAAATCAACTCATATCAAATCAACCAAGGCATCAATTCAATTCAACCCAACGCAATCCAAATCGAATCTATCCGATTTAAATTGAATTTGATTTAATGAGGTTACACCCTAATGTATATATACATCTAATATATATTTATATACTGTTCAAATCAACTTCTTCCAACGGAATTAATAACTATTTGTTTCAACTGACTATCGCATTTATTGCAGAACGAGCGACAGGGTCGGTTCGGCATTGTATTGATTCCGTTGTCGGTGGGACAGATATTTGTACCGCGGGTGGCTATGTACGAATCTGTTACCGAAGGCAATAGTTTAGTGCCATGCCAAGGTGTGTATGTGTTGTGTTATGTCGAGGTGTGCATGTGTTGGAAATGACGCATAAGTGGCGCGTATCTAAGTAACAGCTAGGCATGTACATCAAAATGTGAAACGTATAAGAGTATTCGTCGTGATATGCGTATTGATTATGGTGCTTTGGTGTGCGTATTGGCCGTATCCTTAGAAGGCAAGTGACGGGATGACTTGTATGTGCTACATCAGACACTCCTTTGCATAGCTCACCAAATGTAATGCTCGTATTTTAAGATGCAAGCTCTTATCTGCTGCTGTTTCCTTCCAACTTAATGCGATGTCAATATCAATTTTCCACCACCACTTCATTCTGAGTACTTTTATAGCATACTTGTTATCTAATTTAGAAAGAAAGGGTGACGTGATATATGTATGTGTATGTATA